TAGCTTTCATAGTACAAGCTCTGCTTAGTTTGGAACTAGATGGCGTTGTGTGTCAGATCTCCGAAAATATTTATTATTATTTATTTAAATCCCGCTAGCCTCGAGCATTGCGGAACAATAGACACAATTAGCTTTTAAGATCAAGGCTGTGTGGCCGCTACATTTTCAGTTTGATCACGACAGTGCGACATGTACAAGAGGAAATGTTCTGCCTTGGAGTTCGGATTTCTGAAATATCATCTTATATTTTAGAGTATCCTTGTATCCTTGTTGACTTACTCATCCGACACGTATAGATTAGTAGAATTGTCTTCGATTATGAAGTACATGATGATTTAAAATAGAAACCGAAGGTTCTAGCCTAGGTCTGTACAATTTTAAAAACGTGCATGTCGGCGCTAATGCCGAGATACCACTTTCGGAGTCCATATAAATAAAACACACATTTAAAACCACTTGATTATTCTTGTGTCGCTAGTCTAATGTGTCATCCCCTGTATTTATAACTACTACATCGGTTATAAATTGTTAATCCTGTGGTTGCAACCACAGGATTAACAAATTATTAATAACATTACAAAGTAATTCTTAAATATAGCTCAATATTCAAGATAAATATATCTTTAGATGACTTACTTTACTAAAATTACCTTTGTTTAATATAAAACAAACCGTTCGATTGAAATCAAGTTTTATTCAACATATAAATGACCAACTGAATAAATCACAATAATTCTAATAGGCTTTATTTAGAACATTACGCAATAATTTAAGTAATTTTTGAATAATTAATTAAATAATCAAATTACTTCAAACAATCAAAACAGTGTCCATTGCAACTACATACTACAAATATTTTTTAATAACATACACAAAAAAACAACAATTTTTAAAGCTTCGCGTCCACATGCACTTATCGTTGAAGTATGTAGTACCTACTAGCTTACGATATGTTATTGCTAGTTCTGGTCATTGTCTCTTGAGTCCTATAAAGCTATTAAACGTACCTTGTAGTATGACGTGGGTAGGCGTCAAAGGTTTCTTAATTTCATAGAAAAACGTATTTTGCTTTACCAAAAAACTGAACAAAATCAACTCATGTAAATCATGAACCTAAACGTAAATGGCTGTTGTTTCTAAATAATAATAATAATAAAAAAAAAAAACTTTATTGCGAACACAAGATTCATAAGGGTACATACAAAATGGCAACAATAAAAAGAAAATACACAAACAAAACATTACCTTACTTTAGAAACTGTATTCGTGTTTTTACACACAATGTTAGACTAAGACTAAAGGACTATCATTATGTACTTACCATTTTAAATGAGAATGTTGAAGCCGACCGTTGTTGCTGCTTGAACATCAAACATAGTTAAACAATATAGTAACGGTGGAAAACAAAACAAATTAATTAAATACTTTTACATAATGATCTTACGATACTATTCATTGCAGCTCTTTATAACATTTCAAAAAGTATTTTTATAGCTTTCGAGATTTAAATTTAATCAAATGAAAATAAATACGCTACTTTTTACTGTTTTGTTTATAAAGGCACAGATAGCCGTAGAAATGAGAACAGAATTGCGAAACGAATATTAAATAAAGAAAGCAAAGCAACTTCACATCATTTATAACTACTATAAATAGTATAAGGCGGAGATCCGGTTGAATTTATAACTCTATTATGTGAGAAAAACTATTTATTAAATTAGCCTGTTGATTTAGTGCTTAGTGATTCTGACTGCTGACCCATAGGTTTAGGGGTTCGATTCCCATCCAGGACATATAGGTGTTCGCTGGGCATGATAAATTGTTATATATGTCTGAGTGTAATCTATCTATAATATGTATCTTTATTACCAAAAAAATAATCTGATTATCATTGTAAGGGCTTGTATTATTAACTGCATTGTATGGATTTGAATTGGTTACTATTATGACGAAGACGGTCGTGGCATGTGTTTTATGTGCACACATTTGTTGCATATTTGATATCTTTAAAAAAATACAACAAAAACCAAATGCAACGCAGCCTAGTATGTAACATAAGAAAACTAATAACAGCTTCAGATTGGATTGACGTCAATAAGCAATTACAAGTCAATCAAATAATCATTACATTTAAAAGTAGATATATTTTGCCTGTGTAAAGCTACATTTTTGTAGCTGTGTAGATTGATTTCAATTGTAATACAAATTGTTTCATATTTTTAAAGAAGCGGTTTAAATAAACACAACTTGTTTACGTACTTTGAGTGACATTTGTGTGAGTGAGTGGTCATACATATATACTTTTTACATTATCAGCAGTATCAGTACTACTTAATATTGTGTTCGCCCTACTTTTTTAGTTTTTACTTAAGGCTAAGTAAGCAGAACAAAAATTGTTTAGGTTTGTCTTATACGAAACCGGGCATATCTTTGCCTTTTTATTTATCTTTCAAGAAAAACATAAACTTCAGCCTCATGGAGATGGTGAAATTACTGGAGTGGGAGTTCCTGATAAGCCTACTTAGATTCAATGCTCTTTAGACCAAATCCAATTAAAACGTCTAAGGTACACATTACTATTTAAGTTAAGGTGGGGTCGGACGTTTGTAAATCGCTACGGAAAATCCGTTAATAATTACCCCAATATTATACATATTAGCAAGATATTGATATAGTTACATATTTAAATATTATTCTTATTTAAATATCTACGACATTTACACAACGCCATCTAGTCCCAAACCAAGCAGTACTTGTACTATGGGTACTAGACAAGTGACATAAATACTTACTTTTTGTAAATACATACATATTATACATAAAAACACCCAGGCCAAATCAAACATTAAATGTTCATGCATACAAATGTTTGACTTGTACGGGAATTGAACCGGTGACCTTTGACACACACAGTTCGTTACACTAACCACTACGCCATCCGGCCGTCATGATTGATAATATGCATGGGGATATACTAGTGTCACGGTTACATCTTTCTTACTATGCCATATATACAGATGGATACGGAGTATTCAATTATGCATCTCTAAACATTCTCACATACATATGTCGAAATTGTTTATGTTATGAGTAATTTCGCCAAGGATACACATTTTGCTCTTTGTTGTAGCTAAAGCGCCAGTTTTGCATATGTTAAGTTTATTAAAACAGTTTGCGTGTGCTCCAGACTTCCGATAAATGTGACCTGAGACCATGACGCTCGACCTTCCAATGGATAATAATATTAAAAAATATAACAATTTACGGAAACATAAGCTCTTAATGTGAAGGTGGTCCAACTCATTTTGTACTACACATAGTAATTCGACGGATACGCGTAAATAGGTCTGTTGCACAACGTATCAATGTATCTTAATTAAATTTTAAAACGCTTGTTTATATTGAACATTTACGTCATTAATGTTTCCTTATTGTTATAGTGAAAGAACATACTAACTTTCATTTCTTATCGCAGCCGACATCCGTAAACGCAGTAATTTGGTAATTTTGTATTTACTCAGAACATACGGGCATCCATCTATTCTGACTTAACTGACAAAGGTGTTCGGTTTATTGATCTATTTTATACGTTTCTATGCAAATAAAATATTTCTTACGCAATTATAAGGACTATTAGGACGTTTCGAAACCGCTTACTAAATATAATAAATTTTAATTTGCATAAAACTTGCAGCCTCCATTCTCATCCTACTGATACTCTTTTAACCACGCTGTAGTTAGCCCCCTTCCTTCATGGAGTATATATTTTTTTCCAATTGTTTTACTCAATTTGAAATACTTTCCGTGAATTAGTTTATATCACTTTCTAGAGTACGTTCAAGATCATGTCTGCATACCAGAACATATGTATATGAACATCGGTATCGTGGGTACATTAAATGTATTGAGTTTTATAATTATCTATAGGTTTTGAAAATAATTTTAGGAATATTCTTTAACACAACGTATATCGCTTATCAACTTCTACAACTATTTGTAATGTTTTTGTCTAAACCATACATTTACAAAAACCTATACAATTTATATTCAGTTGCGCTGTAAATGGAAGTAATTTTAAATCACGTAGGTAAATGTTGAGAATACTCAACCTTGGTGAAGGCGGCGACTGTGACACGCCACTTGGACTTAAGCATTTGTTTCATTCATACGCTTGAAGCGTCTGTGTGGCCTATGTAATTGTTTACTGTTAACGTGAACAGCGCAGCTAATTACCTGGTCTCGCCTACTTCTTAGCTTTGTGGTGCTAAAATTCCTCCTGACGGTTATCTTCCTAGGTGCCATGATTGGCATCACAATCACAAATTACTGTAATTCACCCTGAGCTCTAATAAGGGCGAAAAGGTTTATTTCATTGTTTCATTGCTGAATTGTCTAGACAACAAGTCTTTGTTCTTCCAACAACGTTCATTTAATTCGTTTTCAATCGTAACGGACGGATCCTGTCCAACTAATAGTGTAATTTATTGCTTTCTCTTGATGGATGTACCTACTGCCAGGAGTCAATATTTTTGTATGATAACATTGTCATCAAAGATGACCAACCATAACAAATTGCGTGCGGAATGCTTGCTTGCCAAAAAGTACCTTAACTATGACTGACACTCCCGTTGCCTTGCCACTAACTAAACATCACTGCTTATGTATCTTCACCCCGCTGAGAATGTTCTGCTTCGCTCGGCTGTTTGTAGTCCTATAACAAAACATACAAACAATAAGAGTTACAGAGGCATCTATAATATATCTGTAATTAAACTTGGCGGGATATCATCACTTAGGTTTTTGTTGTAACAGAGATTAGATACTGAGAATATCATAAATTAGAATAGTAGTGTAATATCGTCATCGATCCCATTATGAAAACTAGCTTTGGCTTATCTGCTCCAAAGTTTCACTGAATGTTCTAACCCTTAGTTTAGTATTGATGTTCTGTGTGTATGGGTCGTAAAAGTAATGTCGGAGGGAAGTTGGAGCAGCTAGGTCTATTTATTATGGGCGTTGGACGCTAGGGCTCTGGTGACGTGGTCATGTGTCGGCAGCATCAGCGGGCTGGCGCTGGCGCTGGGAGGTAGCGGCGCAGGCAGTCCTTCAGCAGCGGCCGACTCACGGGACCAGACGACAACCTCATCTCGCGCACCTTCTCCACCGCCCTCCGAGAGGCAGCAACACTCCAGGTAGACGCGCTCCACGCTCGGAACGTTTGGCTTTTTTGGCTGTGGCTGTTTTTTTTTTTGTTTTGTTTATATGGAATACTAGTTTTGTCCTTTATCTATAGCTTAAACAGAATATAGTTTCTTTTTCTACCTTTGGATTCAGATGATCAATACTAGTGTTCCATGTATTAAGGTGTTGGTTAATGTACTATACTATAATTTTACGTGGGTCACGGTCATTTACATTTTGTTGTAGAACGCCATACAACGTTCCTAGTATGTGTGCATGCTTGCCTGCCTGAGTGTATTTTTTTTGTATTGGTGGTAGACCACTTTTGTTTCTCAGTGTTTAAATAGTCTTTGTATGTTTATTACTCTTAGTTTTTGTGTCTAAGGTTTTTTCCAACAATCAAAACAGTTGGAGTTCAAACAAATGGGCAGCTCATCAAGGCTTAAAACTGCTGAACAGCACGGCATTAACTCCAAACAAATAAGTGTATAAATAATTGAAAGAGGAAATTAGGTTTAATGGTCGTTCTAAACAGTACAATGTCAAAGTCATACATTATCGTGTTTTCCTGTCGACAGCGGTGGTGATGTCAGAGCTAAATAAAACAATGATCCTTATTATTGCCTGATGTACCTGAATTCTCGTATGTTTAAACAAAAGAAGTTAATGTGGCCCAGTGTATATATAAAGTGGAAGTAATGGTAAATAAGAAATTAATCAATTCAGTACTTAACGCTATTGTTAGAAGCTTTAATATAATATTCTCATTACAACATGGATAGAACATGTGTAAAAAAATAAAATAAACATTAACGAATTTATTATCGCAATGTGTAAAAGCAACACTTTGTCTATTGATTAGCCATACTAGTTAGTAGTAGTCTACTTCCATGGTTTAGTAACATAATATTTAGTCACGTCATATTATTATGTAAAAAAAAACTTGTAGTATGAACAGCATTTCCATCGTTAGTAAAAAAAATAAACGGTCTCCTCTTTTTATCTTGTCGATGGCAAAAATAAACGGTTGTACTCACGTGTGTATTTTAGAAATACGCAACTAGTTTTAAACCCGACGGGGCCCTACTTCAAGGTGTTAAGCGTCCTGGCTCAGGGGTGTTAGGCGTCACATTGCTTGCTTATGTTTTAAAACATGGATCTCAGGAAAGTCACTCGGCATTCCTTTTATTCTAACAATTGCACCTTTTGAATATTGTATGAACACATAATTAGGTATTACGTGCGTAAAGTAGTAGTTAATACCTCTCTTCACTTCTCTCAACCGATGAGTATTCAACCTGAAAACCATTTGATACTAAATTTAGCTCTTAGGAACGTGATAAAAACATATCGCAAATTAAAATTTTGCGTGGGTGCAAAATGTTAATGAAACAAATGAATCCATCGACTTGTGACAATGTGCCGCTTGTCAGTTTGAAGTACAATAAAAAATCAATACGATCGAAGGTTTTTGTACTGCTCTTTAATAGTTGCTTGGTGATGTTTTTTCACAATAGCCTTGATCTTTGCATTCATATAGCAAATATTTAATGTGGGAGCTGCGTACACAATTTCGATCTTGATTGTGTAATATGTATCTCCGGTATAAGAGACATGTTTGACGAAAGATTATGTATGTTTGTCCTATGATTCGCCTACTTGAACGATTATGGCATCCTTAGAACCCGTCATAATTCGTCTGTCGACTTTTCCTAAAAATGTACTTCGACTTAATACCCAATCGGTGACAATAGGTCATTAAAGTACAAAATCTGTTATTATTCGTAAAGCTCAAAGATAATGATGACCCCTTGTAAATATCATTATTAAGTTTGAGAAAAATACATTCTCTGCTATCAAATGACGTGTAAGCATTCATGTAATTATGTCCCTACCGACGATTAATACTTACGATAACTGCGCTTGCCTCGCCATGTTCATCCCAAAAACTTATATTGTGCTGATCATCTTGTAATTTAACTTCATAATTCTTTGCTACAGCCAAGGCTTACGTCATGCTCCCAGAATAGTGCCGGCTTTCAGTGTGTAGTTATTGTAGACTTTTTTGCTGTCAGGTTATTGACTTGAACATTTAGATGTCACGGCAAGGGCAACCGTGGAAGGAACACTGTTACACCGAAGCAAATGTTCAGCAAACAATCAAGTAGTGATATGTTCGCTATAAAGTGTAAAAACTTTTAATGTACTGCTTTAATTAAGAGAGTCATAACTGGTATACAGTTTGTTTGTTTCTAGTTGAAGTAACGTGATTACTATTTGATATGAGGGTGGCATTTCGCTTTGATGATATAATATGTAAGTTTCTTTAGTTTATAAGTCATCATCATCAACAGCCTATACTAGTCCACTGCTGGACATAGGCCTCTCCTTAGAAAGGAGGTTTTGGCCCACTATACCACCCAGTTTATAAGTAGTTATGGATATTTAATAAATAGCCTTTATGGGCTCGTTTTATTATTTAATGTGAGCGCTCCTTCCTATTAATAAAAGATCATAGTCAATCTAAAAAAAAAAACCATAACCACGAGTCTACCATATCTTGTCAGCTTAGTTGTACAGTGTAAATAATGTAGGTGTCTCTTCACATATATTTTATGGACTTTATAGGTTTATGTCACGAGTATAGCGTGATAATTAGTCATCGTAATCCTTAAATGAAAGATCGAAAAAAGGATTTTCTTAAATGGAGTTTAAACAATTACAATTCCAAAACAGCAATTACAGTAAAAAAAACGCGCAATTGCAATCTTTAGACCACTTAATTTTAGAATATTTTGGTAAATTCGTCGTATATTCGTCCTTACCCTCTATTATAATAAGAAATTAAAATTTCAATATTTAGTAGTAATGCTGACAAAATATCCCTACTCCTACTAAAATTTCAAGATTCCGAATACACAATAAAGTACCCGTAAACAAGTACATAATCGTTGTCATAATTTACAAGTAATCTTCAGGTTGGATTCTGTCGGCAGACGTTTTAAAGTCATTGAGAAAAGTTTGCAATTATGTTGGTGTTAATTTTACTCCAAGCAAGAATTAAATGCTTAAGCGTTAGGAGTTCGGAGTTGTTATGAAGTCAAGAACCTACTCGTAATGTTAAGCTGGTGGAGTTTTTAAAACACCATGTATTGTTACTTGTCGGAGACAAGTAACAATACAAAAACGTTAAGTTACAAACATCAAATGTAAAATTTAATATAGATATTTGTAATTATAGCGTCATAATTTAAAGTGTAATAATGATAATATCTATTTTGCAAGAATGTAGTACAGGTGATAATAATTCATAGAAGATCAAGTACATTCTACCACAAAAATGGTGTGCAACAGTCATTATTACAATTTATATCAAAAGTACATGTAGTAGCATGCTATTAAGTGTTCGATAATTTTGATTAATGTAGGCGGTATAATTTTAAATGCTTCCAGTTCCTTGCTGGGTTGATTGGAGTAAATTCATAATTGACTGTTGGCGATTAAACTAAATCAATAAAACAAAATGATAATATAAAGTGTTACCAAATGTTAAACTAACATCCTTGTGATAATGTAACCAGGACATGGAGTCTTTGAGTCCTTTGAAAATCTTCAATAAGCTAAGTTCCATATAATTAAATGAGATGAAATGTCATCGCATCGAGATTGTTCTCTTGTAACCATTCTTTTGGGCTTAATAGGAAGCGACAAAAAAGAAACGTGTAACATAGCTCGTTTAGGAAAAAGAATAACAATAAACTTTTTTTTTATGGAAAAGGGGGCAAACGTCGTATCGGTCCGGGAATACCCCAGACGAAAATTTGTTACATAAATTGGTTGTGCAAAGCAATAAGTGTCTTGAAAAGCACACAGTTTTGAAGTGTCAATTATCATCATATAAAATTTTACCTTGTGGAACGATGGCGGAAAGTTGCGGCTGGTATTAGTCCGAGCAATTCCTCGGAGCACTCTCCATGAGAATGCAGAGTGAGGCTACATCTCCACGTAGCACTAACGGATCGAGCCGATCGGAGATTTTTTCGCTATCGACAATTCGAGTCGCTCTTTTTTAGATGCGGTCCAGAGTAAGAAGCTAATACTGGAGTGCCCCTGCATACAGATGGAACAGTGGACTTGCGCCTTATAGAGTTGGGGGCGGTGGGCCGGAGTGAAATACTGCCTCGATCTGTTCAGCACACCGAGCTTCTTCGAAGCTAATTTAACCTTACCCACTAAGTGACCCGGAAGTTTCTTTTTCTGAAGAATTGAATTTGTGCAATCGAACTTCCAGAATAGGAATTTATTAACACATTTTTAATCTAAATACATAGCAGCATTCTTTACAGTATGTCGCATACTCATATAAAATAACACAATAAAAATGCAACATAGATACATTTTTATAGTCGTCTGCATTACAAGTAGACATTACATAAGCAAAAGCTAATTAAACAGTAATTATTAACAAAAAAAAAATATCATTACAATGCAGAAAAAATAGTAGCAATACTTTTAACCTTATACATTATGTACACGTGCTCAGTTGCCGCATATCAATGAGTGTTACGTCATCCTACCATAAGGATAGGTTCACCCTACACAGCATGCGGTGTATTAGCTACAATTATAATGCACGTCAATCAACATAATTAAATAGCTGTTAAATCTATTGACTTACTAAAAATATTTAATGATTCCTACCACTGCGTACTGTATTTAAATTTGTTGTCACACACGGGTCACCTCAATCATCAATCTTCTGAACTCATTAATGCGAAACGTAAGACTGACCAAAATTCTTCAGTGAGAAGTCATACACCCCTTGCATATGTTTTATATTGGATATTTAAAACAAAGAAATAAGAGAACTATATTTAACTAACTATCCGCTTTCAGACTGCTAAAGGAAAAACGTCACTTCCTAAAAATATTTTTTTACACGGGTATTTTTTCAGTAACTCGCAATTTTCTGAGAAACTGTTTGACGTATCTTAAACATGGCTTGTTATAGGACTTAATGCGTCACTATACACTCAAATAGTTAAAGTGAAGCTTTCTTTTATCAGTTTACTAGTCTAAAATTAAAATATTCTAAAAGTGGTGTAATTTCTATTTCTCTGTTCTACTTCTACTATTTCTATTTCTGATTCTAAGCCCTCAGTTTCGAATCAGAAGGGAAATATACTAGAATATAGGATAAGCTGTATTTATTTCATTCTTCTTTTTAATTTGTAAGTGACATATTGGCAATTTGTGCTACGCGCACGTCGGGAGAGGCCTATGTCCAGCTGTGAACTACAATGAGTTGACTGATTAATATCAGAGTTTTTTCTTATTCAGGTTAGAAGTGGGAAGTGTTATTTCCTAATTTGTTGGTTACATAGCAAGAAATAAAAAATAACAGTCTAGAATGAAGTCTATCATTTGAACTTTCACTTACTTAAATTAGTTGAGTTGGAGGAAGCTAAAATTGAAAATATTCGTAATCATTAATTTGCTCGACTAATAATAAACAGGAAAGTTATCTAACCTTAACCTGTAATACTTCTAACCGTTTTAGCAGGTACGGTACGCTTAGGTAGAGCAAGCCTGTTTCCGAAAAAATTATATAACAGTTTTCTTATGTTTTAATATTAATGACATAACACTATAATAATAAAATGAGACATATCATACAATTGTCTGATCCGAGACCAGGTGGAGCATTTACTATGGTAATTGCTGCTAATAATCCTGCTATGGATATGTTATCGATGAATTATGCCCAGACTTAGAACGAAGATCGTGTATGTCATATAATTATTTGTAAAGATCACTAAGTCGGCCTGTGACCACGGCCGGTGCAACCTGGTCGAAACGTCAGGCAAACCAGAGGTATGTAATACCCTAAATAAGAGATCGCGTTAATTCCCGTTAAATAATATTAATTATCATGGATCGCGAAAGTTTAAAAGTTAGTAAGATCACTAAACACTAAATTTACTAACCGATAGACCAAGACGCCAGATATGTAGCCAAGTATATGTTTTTGTTACCAATTAACTAATTAACTAATAGTGCCGTGTAAAAATCATTTTTAAAATACCAAATGCCATTTAATTTAAGTTTTTTAAATAATAGTCCACGAAGTTATTGGACATTTACAAAGCTAGCGTAGATGTGACTGACTTTATAGTAACGATCATTTCAATTACTTTTTGTATACTCGTATCAAGGAGACATTGCGTACCGTCATCTATCTACCATCATGTCAAGCTACACACCTGTTACCGCCACTTAAATCGTTGCAATTTGAGTCTTATGTTGAACACTGCATATAATCATTGGTGTTACCAATTATTATAATTATCGACTGGGATGATTGCTTCACAATTTTGTAATTGGCCTCCTTGTAAAGAGGCACTATGATGTGACCCGTTATACTCTACCTAGTAACTGCGTCTACAAAGTTCATTGGCCGACGAAAGCGGTGACCTCATGGATTTACCATTCGCATTTTATCATTTTCAACAGTCAAACCATGATTGATCAAACCGATCTTACTGACAAGTATTAACTTACCGACAAGGAAGAATAGGGTTTGAATAATTTTCAATGACGTACACTGCATAGATCTGAGAATCAATATGATATTTTATACAACGCGTAGTTTCAAATCTTATATCTATCCTTAAGTCAAGGCATCGTATCTCTTCTACTTGCCATCTTTTTAGAATATCACCGTAATGACTATGTCACATGTTCCATGTGTGTGTTTCATACAGTTCGTGATGATTATCGACCGTAGCGTCACAGATCCTAAACAATTAGACCGATTTTGGTTTTTTGCGCTACCACATATGCGTAAATCATGATAAATTGCTATAAGCTGTAGTCGTCCTCATCTCAAAATTTTTCACCCTTAGATTTGGAATTAAACAGTCGCAATAGCGTAATTTATATTTTGTAACAGCTTGACAAAGTGACAGCTTTTAAAAAACATTGCCTTTCCCCTGCAGAGATGCTAGTTGGTATAGTTCTAATACTTGCCACATGTTTAAATAATCAAATCGCAACCCGTGAAACTTATAAATGATAGCTTTCGGTAGCCATTTGTGGACTTCATCATCAATTTCATTTTCCCAAATTATGCTTTTCAAGAGCAGAGTTACTACATAGAATACTCAAGTCGCTGTTGGCTTACAAAAATATTTACAAGAATTCCCTCGATTTTACCAGGATTACCATCGCGAGGTCCTGACCTAATTACAACGGGACTAACCTGAAATTACACCCTTATAAATAAAATTATTTTCAAAATCCGAATTCTTGTGAGTAATCAAGTAAGACATAAAAAAGATTCTGACGAATTGAGAACTTCCGCTTTTTCTTTAAGTTTATAGAATATTGAAAGTATTAATAGACAGATAATTTGAAGCATCAAAACCGCATTATTGCCTTAATTTAGATAAGAAATAATTAATCTAACTTGACTATTTTGACAACGATTACAGTAATTTTATATTATAACACCGATGTCTGTCAGACAGCTTTTCATCTTTTGGCCTTAGCAACAACGTACCAACGTCATCTCATACGACATTGAAACCTATCCAGACTGGTTGTAACCTCAGCCCCGAGATGAGTCGGGGCACCCAGCCGTACAAGGACGTCAGTCTTAACAATAGTGAGAAGGTACGCACACAAAATCGCATCTTTCGCCTTTAACTACACAGGCGAAAGTGTGTTGCAGTCCACTTATAAACCTGGAATCCTTTTGTGCGGTTTTACTTTGTAACTTCAGTAATGCACTGTCGTGATGATTATGTTTCGTCGTAGGATGATGAATGTCTATCGAAGTTTTATGCGCCATAAAACGAAATGCTTACCTTGTATGAATGGCTCAATTTTGCAACGCCATTTATGTTAAACGGAAATGTAACACTAACCACATTTCCTTATGTTTATGTATGGGCAACCATTATTAAAGATAAAATATGAACAAAGGGTTCGGATTTCTTTTAGCCACATTATTTATGCAAATAAATCAGTGACTTCATTTTTCAAGAAATAGTTGTCAAATATGAATTAATCACATTTTATTCAACTGGACAACAGATTAGTGTGATACATAATCGTAATGCCACTACTACTCAGTGCTCTAAAGTTACAACCACTAAGACCTTCAATGTATGTTTAGTCTAAAAATTATTTTAAACTGAACCCAAAAAAAAAATAGGGAACGAATTATGTCAGATCAGATCAGTGGCACTTGGCTTTAGCAAATCATAGTGCAACACGTAATTTGTATTTAAAACTTTACGGATTGCCAATAAAATGTCTCCTTAGAATTAGATGTTAATGATAAAAATCGCATGCGATAAAATGTATCACGAAGATAAGAAATATACGAGTACATGTCATAGTTATTAAAAATAATTGTCAAGCGTTCTGGCTTGTCTAAATTACATTAACGTCCAAATCCATTTTTGTTATTTCTCTAATGATTGAACATCAAACTTGACCTATATTGTCCCATGATTTCCGGTTTACTGAACAATTGGCCTCGATGTCCCCACCACTGGCACTGCAAAGGTCGACCCGTAGCGAAATGATATATTTGGCACCATTCACTTGAATCGTAGCGAGATATAGCTAATTAATAAGAATGGCAACAGAAATGTTATATCATAATAACTAAATCGGATTTTCTTTATTGAGTGAATTTAAAATGTTGCTTACTGTAAGGTCTGCGGTGGGTATCATTTAATTAATCGTTAATGACATATAACAAGAATGTAATAATTTCTGTGCAAGAATCTATTGACTCACCTTGACTTGGCCGGCTTTAAAAGATATTTATCAATTGTATAATCATTTGGAATAATGTTTCTTTTACATATTAAAAACTTATTTTAGATTCAACGCTTCAAAAATTACACTTCACATACACATACATTTTTTTCATGATTTTAGTAGTAAAAGGACATGATCAAGAATATCGTATCTAATGGTCAGTAAAATCTCCTCGAACAGTTCGTTCGCATTGTTCCTTGTCGTATCGGCTCGGTTCAAGAGCACCTCCCTAACTGCCTCAGCCAGTATCCTAGGCATCGGCATATCGAGCGAGATCCAGTTTCGCGGTCAACTAGAGTGTAAGGTCAAATTGGCCTCATAGAAGCTTAGTGTGCTGATCCGATCGAAGCAGCATTTTACTCCGGCCCACCACCTCCGCATATGGAATACTGTTCTCATCTCTATGCAACGGCACCTCAGTACCAGCTTCTCCCTCAAGACCGTATCCAACGCAGAGCGACTCGAATCGTCCATAGTCAAAACATCTCCGACCAGCTCGATCCCTTGGTGTTACGTAGAGATGTAGCTTCTATCGTATGGAGAGAGAATGGAGAGTGTTTTTCGATTTTTAAATTTTCCGCCATCGTTCCACATGGCAAAATTTTCATCCTCACCACTTGTATAATTGGCACTCCACCACTATGCTTTTCAAAACACTTTTTGCCTCGCTTAACCAAATGTTATAAGTTATCGTCTGCGGTATTTCCGGATCGATACGACCTTCAAACTTTCAAGAAAAGAGCGTACTCCTTCCTGCAAGGTTGGCAACGCGCTGGTGACTCCTGAGTTGCGGGCGTTCATGGGCGGCGGTAGTCGCTGTCTATCAGGTGACCCGTCTGCTCGTTTACCCCCCCTTCCATAAAACGAAGGAAAAAATGTTCTCACTGTGAAGCGGCAACAGGTTCATCGTTTACAAGGCTATTTTTTATATATTTTAGTATAACTCTTTAAAAACTGCGCATTGAGATTGGATTATGCAAACGTTAGAGGCGATAGAGTTCTACTCACAGATGTCCTACTTAAAATTGATCAATTTACTTATTAGACATAAATGCTAGCAATTTCTTGTATCAAGATAATATAGAATTGACAGTATCAGATTCTGTTTTGACTTCACGAAGGGGATATCCTCATTCACTTTTACTTTTCCGGGACTGAAACTATTAACATAGATATGCATCAAGTCCACCCTGTTCTGTGCATAAAGTTAACAGACATTATTTCATTAGCTCATAATGCTTACTAGAGATAAGATTGCAACGGATAATTTTTAAAATAACTTAGTTATGTACCAACTTTTGAGTAAGTACTCTTTTTAACTTAAAATATTCGCTACTTTGTTTTGTCTTAACGTTTTAAAATTTGTCTTATCCCACTTTCCACATATCACAAGTAAGTAAATAAAGTAATGTAACAACTACAGCGACCGTGATTTAATTAAGTCATTCAATCCGCGGATTTTCTCTATCATGCAGAAGGTTTGCTTTCAGATTTCGAAAGATTATTAATTAGCGATCATTTGATAAGGATTTCCCTGCCAGCCAGTTAAGACACAATATATGTAATTAGAATTAAATTCAAGGATTGACAGCTAATTATAGGTAATCATAAAAATAATAACTATATCTAACTGTTTCAACTCAACATAATTGTTTACTGCGTAAATTTTTTTTATACTCTATATATATCTATGTTAATTAAATGTGGCAATATACCTTATAAAAAGAGTTTTTAAAATTCCAATATAATGTTGCTCACTAAGTTGCATTGTGTTAGCAATATAATATCATCTTACTGTACTTCTTACAGTATTAAATAAAATCTTACTCGATTTGCTACATAAGTGCTCGATTTACGCTACATACATTCTAACTCCCTCTCTCTATCCATTTTCATAAGTCCAATTTACCTTTCTTCCTTTGTCCCGTTAGCAAGAGATTACATACCCAAGAACGGTTGGCGGCAGATGGGCGCCCGGCCGTGAAAAAATCGCCAAAACTCTTTGGAGTGCTATACATTGCAATGGCCCCAAATTAAAATGGTCGATAAATACTTCTTACCAATTATAAAACAACCAGGTTTTTGTGTATATAAAAGTGTTTTGTCTGACAATTTTTATCAGTCGAAAGGTCTGGGAACTTCTACCTACTTTTGCCAAATCTTTTTTAAATTGCCGACTTATCTTTTGTCGATGGATAAGTAACAAGTTAAAAAGAAGTAATGACATATGAGTTTATCACAATGTGGTCTATTAATGTTTTTATATTTGTATACTTTTCGCTTATGAATTTTTGTGAAAAGTATGTTGAATAAGCTAAATTTTATCCATACAATTATTTATGGTTTAAATTTCGGTGTTTTAAATAAAATATTTTAAACAAGAAAAAAGCTCTGTGAGGTGTACATATTTGGTAATTGTATGGATTTTCTTACCTTACGATGTATGGATTTTTTCTATATTTTTCCATCAACATACGAGTACATTCCACAGAATAAAGTGTATGGGGTGAAACCGTTAAGTTTTTCTGGGTGTGTAAAATGACGAATTTTAAAGATGACACATAAAAAAAAATTTTTAAATCTTAACTATGCGTCAACAAAGAATCATGAAATAAAAAGTCTTAGAAGTTAATCAAAGATACTGAAAACGTTGTAAATGAG